AAAAAGTTTTTTCAGATCCAAGTCAGCCTACAAATAAAGTAAGTAAAATAATCCCCAAAGGCTTGACCTATGCTGATATACTCTAGAAGTTGCCAGGAGCTCTGATGCAAGTTGTCCAAACCAATGATGACCTGGATGAGCCATTGCTGCTGGAAACCACCAGGAAATAACCAGGCTTTTTAGTTCAACATTTCACCGCCACTAGCTGGTCTATCCTGGTCTCAGTTTTCCCATCTTTAAAATTAAAAAGCAAAAGTTCTGTTACTTTTTATACTGATTTTTTATTTGTGATAATGTGCCTTCAACATCTATAACCTCAAGTTTTAGAATCCTCTCCACAGAATTCTTCAGTAATGGCAGAAATCAAACCTTTAACTGAAACAGGTAAAGAGATTCTGTTGACTCAAAGCCAAAAAAGGGCATAACTGTGTTTCTCTCAAAGATGAGACAATAAAAGATTTCTACAACCTACAAAGAACTTTGTAAATATTAGACAATTTGCTAAATTTCTTTTAAGCTAAAGCCAACATCTATTTGAACAACCGATATAAAGTAGTGTATTACTAAGATAGCGAAATTGGTACATTATGTAACACGGAAAGACTCTATAAGAGTTGTAAAATAAGACTTCCAGTAAGAGACACTGGAAATGTATCACTGAGAAAGCATGGACAGAACTTTGATTGGCTGGATTTGTCCCTCTCAAAGTCACTCTAGGCTGCAGGAAGAACACATTTAAAGGCAATGAAGTTATAAAGAAAAGTAGTCCAGTGTGGGGCACAGGGTTCACGAAGGAAGGTCAGCACGATGAAGCTAAATTGCCATAGCCTGGATTTCCAGAACACCTACACTAGTCCCATGAAAAATCTTAAAGAACAGAGATATTCAGTCAAATCCCAGTGGGTGGTTAAAAGGGCAGAAAGTTCTCCTTTGCCTAAATTTCAGTATCTTCCAAAATTTAAGAAAGCTACTCATTCCATTAACATTCCAATTTGACTAATAAAAAGTACAATTTCTGTTAAATTACAGGCAAGTTCAAAAACCATCAGAAAGTAAATCAAGCTATTTGTTAGCTTGTGATTATCCAAATACCAATCCTAATCATTAAGATAAGAAACCTTAGGAATAAGGAGTATTTTCAAATTTCAGGAACAAAGTAACCCATTTCTCAACCATGAGGACTTCCTTAATTATAGGAGGTAACTCCACAAGAGAATAGAAATAATAATAGAAACTGAGAGCCAGAAAACAGTAGGCAATATTCAAAACTCTTGTGAAACTAAAACATTAAAGTCACTTTAAAGCCACAGCTTTTTTTCTATTAATGAAAATCAAAGATTCATCCATCAAGTTTATATCTGCTCACTGTTCATATAAGGCAAGAAAAATACAGCAAACGATTGTTTCAGACCAAAAGACAGCTATCCTTGATCATTTAAAAATTACCTTTTCAACTGTGAATGTTTTGGTGATGGGTGTGGTGTGGTAACATGAATCTCAGAAGGTATGAACTTATTCACCTAAACCATACAGTATTGTAAACCAATGTTACCTAAAAATAATAAAAACAAATCTTAAAAAATGAAAATTACCTTTTATCATTTTATGGCCAGTAAATTTGGAGTGTTGAAATATTACATCATAATTCTATACAAAAACCTCTTGTTATGGATCTTTCATGAAGTATAGCACTAGATTGAATTAAATACTAGATTGAGAATCAGCAGAAGAGAATTAGGTGCTACTTACGTTTGAAAAATCACTGAACATCTATCTATGCCCCTACACAGTCCACCCTTAAGCTGAGAAGACTGAGTTATTATCTTCAAATACCATTTTATATGTGTGTGTGTAGATATACATACATATATATGTGTATATATATTTCAAATAATAAGATATGTAGTTTCCAGTATATGTGCAAGGAAGTTGTGCGCAAGCAAGGATAAGGCAGACAGAGGGATTGTTCAAATTGAGGCTCTGTTAAAACAAGCTGGGTGGATGCAAATTTCCTTTTTGTTCAAGAGGGGGTAATATTTATCTTCACAATATGTTGAAAAGATTAGAATCCTTTCAACCTAGCACACTGTAGACAATAAATAAAGGCAGAAACTAAGTCTCTGGTTAGAAACAACAACAGAAACTAACCGGAAACATAGTTTCTAGAACTCAGCTTGAAGAAGTGTAGGGACTGCTTGCCAGTTCTTTCCAAGTACAGAGAAGATTCATAATTGGGAGTAGGAGTGATAAACGGCAAGTAAAAGCAAATCAGAGCTTTTCAAACATCCACAAAATAACCATGGAAAGGAACAAAATAGCTTGGGGTATACAGTACTTGGGAGAGAACATTTTTCATCAACAAAGAGTATTACTGGTTAAAAAATAATATATGAATTAATGCAATTATTTCATAACTAAGATAAACAGAGAGCTGGTTATAGTCTCTGAGTGTCACTAAAGAAAATAAAGAGGAATTTGCAAAACATAAGCCCTATTTCCTTTGCTATCCTATAGGTCTTAACAGAAGCTTGAGTAATCTGGTTGCTGCCCACCTCTTCAAAAGATAAAATCACCATCTTTCTGTGAGCATAAGAAAAAGTCCCCAGAGAGAGCATTCATTCATCTGTTCATGCAGATTTATGCAATAATGTAGTGTTATGAGAGTGTTTGCCACAGCAATGTTTTAAGAGAATGTAATATGCATGCATGCTTTGTACAATTCACATTTTGACTATGCATATAAATTATTTAAATTCTTTTAAAAAAAAAACCCACAGAGCAATGGTGTAAATTGTTTCCTTTTGTGAAATCCTGCTTCCAGGAAGAGAGGGTGTACAGGCATATGTTATATAGATGCTGATTATCTTCCCAACAAAGAATTTTGAAATATACAAACTAAACTATTTTCAGTACTGGATAGGTTAGACCTGTTACTTTGTTACCTAGCTAACCTCATCCAAAGGATTACTGAGTCAAGTGATGAATTCAGTGATTCCCTCTGTGAAATAGAAGGCAAGTTACATGAACTGCGACCTTAACGGACTATTAAGAAGAAATTGACAATGTAATGCCACATTAAACAAAACAAAACAAAAATCCTTTCTAATTCTAAAACAAAAGTAAACAGACTACTGAAGATTTAAAAATATGGTCAGATATCCATCCATGAGTGGGAAAAAGAGTGAACCGAAACCACAGCTAGAAAATTTATGATTTGTGCTTTCATTTTGCTTTGAAAAAGTCTTTTTTCTTGGTGGATAAAAGAGGCCAGGAACCGACCATGTCTGGATAATCCATGCGTCACCCCAGTCACCATTCTCGGTCACTCTGGAGGGCTCAAGGTGCCAACTCGGGACTGGATGCCACCAACACGACTCGAGGTACGCAGAGTAAAGCACAGAAACCCCACCACCCGCATCCTCCCCAGATCCCTGCCCCGAGCCCCAGTCCAACCCTTGGATGAAATGATGTACGGTATTCTGCAACTTCACTTTTCGGGTCCTTTATAAATACAACCTACATAGCCCCTCCTCCTCCCCAAGGACCGCAGGACTCAGCAATAAGAAGCGAAGGCCTGAGCTCTAGACTCCCAGCTTCTGGGCGCCCCAGGCAAGTCATCTGACCTCCAGTGACTCAGTCTTACAATCTGTCAAATAAGGTGACGAAAAACTCAGCCTACCTCATCGGGAGGTTCCTGACCCGCCGCCCCAGGCTGGCCCGGGGACAGCGGATCCTCGTCGCGCCCGCTAGGCCCTGGAGGGCGAGGGGCGGGGCTCTGCGGGGCGGGACTGGGTACCGAGGCGGGTCAGCGACGCTGCCCACCACCCGCAGCCCGCCGCCCCCGACCTGGTCCAGCGCACGCCCCGCTGCGTCAGCACGCTGACGTCGCCGCAGAGCGGCCGCCTCTCGGCCGCGGGAGCCGGGACCTAGCTGGGTTCTGATTGCGCCAGTTTCAAAGGCGGCAAATGGTGAGTGAATTTGTCAGTCATCTCCTGCCCAGTGAGCGACACGGGGAGGCGGGCGAGGGCGGGCTGGCGTAGCCCGCTGAAATGAGTGGGAATCTGAAACTCGGCCTTTGCGAACTCGGAGCGGGTTGCACGGGCCGAGCCGCGTCCTACCCGGTTTTATCTAGCGATCGTTTCCTGCTCTTGGGCTGTTGTGCTCCCTCCGCCGTGCTCCTGTCTTTCAGTGGGTGTTTAGGGCCCGGATTTCACGACCCCTGAGCAGTTCGCATTGAACTCTTCAGGAATGAAATTGTAGGCCATTCCATTTCTCTGTTTCAAGCGTCACCTCCACTTCTAGTTTTCCTCAAGATAGGAGATTCTTTCCTATCCATGTCGTCTTGCTGTGTATGACATGACACCACAATCTTAGTAGTAGTCACAGTTAATAAGACTTGACTATTTGTTTCTAGCGAGATTAGACATCTTTTACCATTGTATTCATTCTAAGGGTCATATCTCTCTAATTAAACTTTTTCCCAAAAGAAGGGAGGGGGCGGTTACATTGTTGAGAAACTTAAAAGTGGAAAGGTTTATAGCATGAAAACTTTGTAAGTGTCAAATTCCACAGGCACACATTTTGCTAACTACAGGCAACCAATCTTGCTGACATTTTGGATATTCTGTCACGTACTTTCTAAATCATATTAATGTGAAATTGCATTAGCTATAAATGTACGTATTATAACTTAGGCTAAAATTCTTTTCGGGTTTTAATTACAAGCCCAATCGTGGTATGAGGATTTCTAGTTTCTATGCACTTACATAAGTGTAGTTGTGGTATTTTCCCACTCACTGTTATATCATTTGGATCTTTTCAAGTCCGTAATGTGAGTCACCGATTCTTTTAAAATACTGCTAGGTTGTTTCCAGAAGAGATATAATTGAATGTATGTATCTGCCACCCGCGGACATGTAGTTTATTTCTTTTTTGCTTGAAAGGATATTGCTACCTTTTGTGTGTGTCACTTTTTGTCCAAGTGTCCTGTAGGATAAAGATACAAAGTGAATGTGCTGGTTAGAATACTGCATTTGTAGTCTTAGAAGTAGATTCCTTGCATTTGTTCTCTTAAAGTAGTTGTTAATAATTTACATTTCTATCCCTAATATGTGAGCAACCCTTTCCTTGCAAACTTGCCAAAACTCATGTTACAGTTTTTTTTTTTTCATTTTTCTGAGTGAATTGCTGTGAAAAGATTTTAAAGAATAGTACATCTTTAAAGAAATACTGTGATCACAAGTGTATATAGTTAGGTAACAAAGTGAAAGGACTTGTTAATCACCTGCTAGACCAAGATTTTAAAGGCTTAACTAGCAACTAGAAGCTCTCCTCATACTTTTCTTAGTCATTACAGCCCTATCGAGATAAATGGGAAAGGTTAATCTCTTCACTAAATAGTTTTGGAAGAACTCTATATTCATATGCACAAGAATGAAGCTAGATCTCTATAACATACACAAAAATCTACTCAAATGAACTTGAAGACTTAAATGTAAGCTGAAAATATAAAACTAGAAGAAAATAAAGACCGCTGTTATGCTCTTGGCAGTGATTTCATGGACAATATGGACTTTTGTTGTTGTGACCTTTTCCAAACAAACTCACTGATAAATTCTAGCAGGTTCTTGTTGATATTCCATAGGCTTTTATTCATAGGTGATCATAAAAAATGGAAATGCATGAGATAAATGCCTCAAGTTTTCATTTTAAATTGTTAATTTGATGTTACATGAATTTTGTTTCAATTGCAAATAACTGTTCCATGATCTATCCATCTCCAAAAAAAAAATGTTCAAATGAAATTTCTTCTTCTCACCAAACATCCATGGATTTGAGGTAGTGACGAAGCTTATAGCAACATTGAAAAATTATCTAAATTTGATATGAAATACTTGTAATCACCTATTTAAGCTATATAAATGTAAAACCAGAAAATAATACCGAAAATTCTACCATTATAAGCCTAATTCATCTGCCACTCTTCCTCTTACTTTACATTTGGTTTGGTCATGCCTTTTTTTCTGCCCCAGATCAAGTGCCTAGAAATATTTGTTGAATGACAATGCAATCTATATCATTTTTTAGTATTCATGCAAATAAGTGCTCTCATCTAATCCATCCTCTGTACCTCCACCAATATAGAAATCATGATGAAAGTTTAAAGTGTACAATATACTATAATAGAAATCAGTAATGTAGATCACATTGGGGTGGAAAGGTGGTAATTAATATTTAAGCTAAAAAAGATCTAGAATGTATAAGAATTGACAGTTGACCTTATTTAGGAAGTAAAGGAGTTGGGTGATTGGTTGGAGAATCTTGCCATTAATTTACATTATGACTTCAGGAGGAAATCCAGATCGGACAGGGGCTCCTGTAGAACACTTTGAAACATGTGTGATTCATTTGGAAGTGTATCTAGTATGCATCTAGCTTTTAAACTAGAGAATTCAGGGAGATACTTCAGGAAGAGTGTCAGACTGAGAAGTGAAGAGAACCTGGAGCAGTATCCTAGGTTCTTTGAAGAGTAGGTCAGAGAGAAACGAAGGAAGCATAGACACAGTGAACTCAGAAATCAGAGGGGCATGAGAAGAGTCACATGAGGCTAGAGAAAGTAGTATTTTGAAGATGATCAGATGATGAGTATTTGAAGTCAGAAAGAGCAAATATTATGAGAACATAGAGTAGAAATCTTAACAGAATGAGGGTTGATTGTTGATTTGGATCTTTAAGGATATAAGTTATACAAAACTAAGAAAATAAATGGAAAGTGGAGAAGGACAGCATTATAAGAAAAGAAATGGAGACAACAAAATGTGATTGAATGGAACATGAAACTTTAAAGGTACCTAAATTAACTAAGCTAATAAATCACTTTAGATGCTAAGGAGGGCCTTTGGTTGGTCATATGATAAAAATAGGATTAATAGATTTTGTTCTAATGGTTTTAAACTGTTAGGAATTTAAACTATTTTAGGAATTTGTTTCAAAGAGACAAACCTTTCACTAGTGCACATATAATTTAATTTTCATGAATGATACTAAACTACTATATAAGTAAAAAAATTTAAAAAACTAGAGTTGAGAATTTATTATTTTTGTTGAGGTAATATTTTACAGCACTGCTTCAATTTCAAGTGTACAATTTTACACCCCAACAATTGCATGTTACACCATGCCCATAACAAAGGTGTAGTTTCCATCCACTACCATCCAATCAAGCCCTTCTGTTCCAACCCACTCCCTTCTCCCATGGTTGTGTTATCAGAATCTAAGGGTTTGTTTTTGTTTTTGTTTGCTCCTTTGTCTTGTGAGTTTATATTTCACATTAGAGTGGAATCACGTGTTTTTCTCCTTTTGATGAATTTCACTTAGCATAATCCCCTTGTCCATTCAAATGGCAAGCTCTCTCTCTCTCTCTTTTTAATAGCTGAGTACTTTTCATTGTGTGTGTGTGTGTGTGTGTGTGTGTATGTCTCACTTTAATCTACTTATCAATTCAATATATATCTCATTTGTATTTACTTATCAACTCATGAGCATTTAGGTTGTTTCCAAATCTTAGCTGTTGTGAATTGTATATAATTAAGTTAAGGGCGCACATATATATCTTTTAGAATTAGTGCTATCATTTTCTTCTAATAAACACCCAGAAGTTATAATAAACCCCCAGAATTGCTGAATTGTATGGTTGATCTATCTTTAGTTTTTGAGAAACCTCCATGATATTTCCCATAGTGGCTACACCATTTTATATTCTTCCCATCAGTTATTACTTCTTTTTGATAATAACCATTCTAAAGAATATGAGATGGAATCTCATTGTGGATTTTGATAAGCACTTCCCTAATGATAAATGATCTAGACCATTTTCTTGTGTTTCGCCATTTGTATGTCGTCTTTGGTGAAATGGCTACTTAGATCCTCTTGCCGATTGTTTGATTTTTTTTGTTTGTTTTTTAGTTGTGCAGAAGCTTTTTAGTTTGATGTGCTCCAATTTGTTTTTGTTTTCTTTTGCATCCCTGGCTGTTAAAGTTGAATCTACAATGACATCATTGCAATTGATGTCAGAGTTAACCGTCTATGTTTTCTCCTGTATATGTTAAGGTTTTGGGACTTATATTCAATTCTTTAATCAATTTTAAATTAATTTTTATGTGTGGTACAAAGGTAGTGGTTTAGTTTCATTCTTTTGCAGATGGTTGTTCAGTTTTCCCAGCACCATTTATTGATAAGACTTTTCTTTCTCCATTGTGGGCTCTTCTCTCCTTCATTACAAATTTATTGTAAAAATTTGTAAATGATTTCAATTTTAACAATGAAAAACACAAGTTTTGGAGAAGAATACAATAGCAGGTGGCTACTGGGAAAGGCAATATTCATATAGTCCAAAGAGTCTCAGATTTTGAGGTAATTAGATCATTTCGGTCTGATCCAAGGTCAGCTTTGAAACTTAATTTACCTTGAAAAATAAATCCCTATAAAATTTATTGAAAAGACAACTTCAGCTATGGCAGTTTAAAGATTAGAAGTTGAAAAGACAAAGTTAAGCTTGATTTATGTGCCTAAAGCTAATGTTAGAACTTCATAGAATTTTGCCAACCCAAACCATCAGTGAATTTGGTCATTCTCATCCTGTTCTCTCCTAATTTGAGGGATTTGGTTGCATGTTGGTGAAGCTGTTTAGATCACCGTGGTCTCTCATGTAACACAGGACCACAACCCCCAGTGACCATTCTCTTCTACTCTCAAGTGAGTCAATTTAGCCAGGAAAAAGGCGCTCTTCTACCACCGTGACTCATGATGCATGAGACTGAACTGGTGTCCGTGGATAGTAACTGACTGCACAG